AAAAAAAAAAAAAAAAAAAAAAAAAAAAAAAAAAAGTCCTACAGAAACCTAATTTAGAGTAGGGCAGGGCTGGCAAAGATGATTACAGGGAAAGAGGGGAGTTCCCAGGACACAGAAACTGTCATCACAGAGGCAGGATGTAAGCATCAGGAAACCTTCTCTCCATGATATTGTGGGTTCATCAGAAACAAGACTCCCTCATGAGTTAGGAAGACAAGGTCTATTACCACTCATGACTGAAGGCCCAAGGGAATCACACTCTCCTCAAACATCACCCCCGCTATGGGTCTGATGGACTGAAATGTCCCCATGAGTTCAGGTTCTTCCAGTCTTCAAACATTTCTTCTGAAGCATAATATTCATATGCTGACCCCAGGAAAAAGCTATTATTAATACACTCCTAGAAATCCCATTTTCATTGCCACTTCTATTTGAAGCATGTCAAATTGCTCCTGGCAGAATTCTCACTTGGTTTCTCTGCTGAACCATCAAATGCAGTACACAATTTTTCTCTAGTCATGGCTTAATGAAATGATCTACTTACATGTGAGCATTTTCATTACAATCAGTATTTGGAGAAAGGGAAAAAGGACACAATATTTATCAAATTATGACATATATATATTGTTCTCTGGACAGTCCTTTTTTTCTCTAGTTGTCCCAGTACAGTTACTGACGTGGCTTCACGTCACTCTCAAAAGTGCCCAGTTTCAGTAATATAGCAAGCCCAGGAACTATCCTTAGGGATAACTTATTATCTCTGCTGAAGGCCATAGCTAAGTTATTTGTGCCTCCAAGTTAAGGTAAGTGCATAGCTTAGCAGAGCAAACACATTCATGGAGCTCCTGGGCAAGAGGAAGCTACCTTCCTTGTATAGAGGGATTGCAACAAAAATTGGGTGGTTTACAATGGCTCAGGGTTAGGAGATAAACTTTCCCCAAAAGTCACACTGGGAATGGGCAGCAGAGCAAAATGAAGTTACTTACGTGCCACTCTGAGGTGCAAAATGGCCTTGTCGTAGGACCTGCCCTCCTGGAAGTAACAGCAGTACATGCCATTCTCGTGTGCTGTGACATTATGGATAATGAGTCCCACCTTCCCCTGGCTGATGGCTTCACTCAGAAAGGTGGTTCTTCCTTGGTACTCCTCCATCTGTTCTTCTGTCCTCTCTCTCCTGCCCTTATACAGTAGAACTGCAGGGGAGAACTGAGACCGATACCACCGAATCTCCATGTTCTCAGCATTTTTCTCAGGTGACAGGTGGCAGGGTAATGTGGTGTTTTCTCCAACCATGGCCAAGATTGGACCAGCCGGCCCCATGACTGTAAATTGAGCTGTCCAACAAAAGGGGGAGAATCAAACAGGGACTGTAGCCATGAAATATCTAAGGTGGCAGTAAATGAATACTCCAGGGCACAAATAAATATTTTCCAAACAACAGAGGCTTCTTGGGCTGAAGATTCCAGGGACCAAGAGCCTTAGCTGTGGACAAGCACTCTGGAAGCAGTTCCTGTCGAGGCTGCTAATAATATTCCACAGACAGAACTCCAGTACCCTCTGTGCTCTCACAGCTTCTCCACTCCCTGATCCAGCCCAATGCCGGCATGGAGGATAAACTTGAACTATCTCATCAAATACCCACTAGCTAGTTCCAGTTAAAATGAGTTGTTAGGGCTGGGGATGTAGCTCAGTGGTGCTGCACTTGCCTGGTAAGTGCAAGTCCCTGAGTTTAATTCCCGGTACTGGATGAGGGTTTACACATTTAAAAAATGTTAAATATCTCATTGGCAATATTTTGCATGAAGTAAGCATTTAAATGATAATAATGTTCAGTTACTTGGGATTAAAATATTAAACCTTATTTATTTTTTTACTTTTTAAAGTTGTGGGACTTGAAAATTTATAAGGGTATATGCAGCTCTCCTTGCAGCCCTTGTGGATTTCTGTTGGACAGAGCTGGTATAAACTCAACGAGTAAACTCAGAATGAATCTGTTGCCACATAGGGTAGTCCCTGTGGCTCTTCCTCTTTGTACCCTGCAAGCTGATACTGCTCTGAGGAGGAGTGGACAGAGCAAGTGGCCCACAGCCCTACCTGAGACCAGCACAAGCAGGCTGAGGATGGGGAGGAGCAGGGAGGTCGCCTGGCTGAAGTGCAGAGAAGCTGGAGGCTCCATAAGCAAAAACACAGCACGGAGTCACCAGGGTGAGCAGGAACCAGACCTGCGGGGTGGAGGGAGGACAGGATAAGTTAACCGAGTAGACTGGGCCCCTCTGTTCTCATCAAGGTCAAGCTTTCTCGTGACCATGTTGATCTCATGAGAACACCATTTCTGTCTTGGGCAGACTCTTTCACCCAGGGCTAAGGCACACAAGGCACACACACACACACACACACACACACACACACACACACACACACACCCTTGGTGGAAGGGTCAGTGAATGTGCCCTGAGATAAAGCCATTGGCCACCACCAGTCAGGTGAGTCTCTGCCCACCTCCATTTTCCTTCTCTCTGGAGTCGTGTTTCTCAGCTATCACTTGATACTGTGCATATCTGCCCTCCTACCCAGACCCAGGCTGCTCCACTCAAGTGAGATCAGGTGTGGGGCGTCTCTTCTGTTCCAAAGACTCCACTTTTCTTCCCCACTCACCATCCCCACTGCCCTGTGGCGCTTCCCCTACCTTTCCTACCTTCTGCAGTTTCTGTTTCTTCTGACTCTCAGGTGATGATTTTATGGCTGCTGCTTATCTCTCTGAGCTGCCCATGGACACAGCATCAAAAACTATTTGTTTCAAAAGAGGGGCAAGAACTTCCCTTTGCCTCTATAATTAGTTTTCGTGTACAGAGATTTGAATCCTGGACCTCAGATCCGGGTTACTCCACCAGCACCAAGTCTCAGGATTTCCCGTGAGTGGTTCTGAGCCCATGACTGGCTGACTGCACATCAGCAGCCAATGGTTTCCCCAGCCTGTCTGTCACCAGTTACGAGGTAGAATATGCAGAAACAGTTCTAAGGGGGAAAATAGTACAAAGTACATGGGCCTATAAGCCATTTGCTGACTTTTTATTCTCTTGTTCAGAAATAAGGGGCAGTACTGTTGTGGCATGGTGGAGTATAAGAAAGGAGATTTATAGTATTTGTAAAGGGGAAAAATGGGACTGAAACAAGCTGCCCTGTGGAGAGGGCAAGAGGTTCCGAAAAAGATAGGTACCCCTGAGCCCTCATCCCTGTCTCTATATCCAGATTAAGAGGCCTTTCCTTCCAGGTGGATACTTGGAACTTGTCACAATCTGATTGGTTTCCTGGGCTATCTTGGGACGGGTTCAAGATGTTCTTTCCTTTTGTGGTCCTTTTTTGATCTCCTCCTACCCTTTAGTCCTTGTCTAGTAAGTTTTGTTTTGTTTTGTTTTTTGTTCTTTCTGGTACCAGGGATTGATCTCAATACTGAGCAAGTTTTTATATCAAACTGGCTGGACTTAAACTACTGATCCTCCTCCCTAAATATTATGAATAGCTGGAAGTACATGTAATTGCCATCTCACCCAGCATGTTTTCTCAAATTATCTCTGTCATTAAGATTTAATTTTAATTAAAGTAACCATACAACAAATGAAAGAATATTATGCAATTTCTTTCTACATTTTTGGACTTTAAGTATCTTTGTGAGAGTTCGCAAATGATGAGAGATCTAAGCAAGGACATCAAAGGAATTTTATCCTGACAATTGCATGTACTTCAATATCAACTTTTTGTTACCCAGCAGGACGATCCTAAATCCTCATGTGAAAGGCTGACAGTTCCAGTTTCATTTAACAATTACATCATGTCCAAAATTCAGTTTTAGTATATGTGCTGCTGAAGTGAGCACCATCATGTCCAAAATTCAATATAAAACTCATGAGACTTGTTACAAGGCTTTAAAAGCCAAGAATAGTGGCACGTGTCTAATTCTTGGATTTAAAAAGGCTGAGGCAGCAGGGTCACAAGTTCAAGTTCACCTTGGGTAATGTAGAAAGACCCTGTCATAAAACAGCCAGATACATAGAGAGACAGGTAGATAAGATAGACAGGGCTAGGGATATAGCTTAGTAGTAAAGAACTTCTGGATTCCTATATAAAATATATGAGAAGAAAGCACCAAAACAAAATTTAGATACAGAAGGAATGTTGGAATCATCAGACCATAAAATTAAAGGAGACCAACAAGATTAATATGTTGAAGTATCTAAAATGCATAATGACAAATATGCATGAACAGTTAAATAATGTCAAGTGGTGATGATAACATTCTAAGAATCAAAAGGAAATACAAGAAGTAAACCATGCTTCAATAGAAGTGAAGAAGTGACTTTAAGGACTCATGACAGCAGTGCAATGTGTGAAGAAACACTGATTATTTAGTCACTTTCTTGTTGCTGAGACACAACACCTGGCACAACATAGAGGAAAGGTTTAATTTGGCTCACAATTTCTAGATGTTTCAGTCTAGAGTCAGTGGACTCTCGGACAGAAGTGGAATGATGGAAGGGCCTTCTAGGTTGGAAAGCTGCTCGACCCATGGGGATCAGGAAAGCACACAGGGAAAGGAAGGAAACAGGAATGGAGTCTCACTCCCATTGATCTTTCTTTATCTTCTAACCAGCCCCTACCTCACAACACCAAGACAGCTGAAGTGCTCCAATAATTCGCTCACCTAGCAGAAACCCTGCAATGGGCTCATGAGGTATTATTAGCCCCCAAAGACCCATGTAATCTTTCTATGGGAATGAATTTAGTCCATCTCTATTAGTCGCCAAAGTCCTAACAGGCTGTGAGCACCTGTAAAGCTAAAAAAAAAAAAAAAAAAAAAAAAAAAAAAAGTTAAACAATGTTGACATTCAGTGCACAGGGAAAATATTCCCTTTCAGAAAGGGGATAATAGGGGGATAAAAACAAATGGGAACAAAGTAAGACAAAGACTCCGGGCAAACATTAAAACCTGTAGCTTCATGTTCTGCTCCCTGGGCAAGCTGTTATAATTTAGGAACTTCAGAGGGCTTTGGTGTACCCACCACTAAAGTAGTATAGTTGTAGTCCTCATGGCTTCTCTTCACTCTTGGACTAGATTTGCTTATTCCTTGTGGCTTTCTTCAGACAGTCCATGTTCCTTGCCTTTCCAACTTTCACATTCACTCTCACAGCTGTACACACGCCCTGTCATGGGCACACTGCCCAACCTCCCAGGCCTTCTGAAATCTTAATGGAACCTTCCACATCCCCTGCCTCTTGCATTCTGCATACTTATAAAACCAGGACCATGTGGATGATGCCAATGAATGCCACCAACTCCAAAAGTACCCATGTGCTTTTGCATCATGACTGCACAGGCTTCCCAGTGCCGAGATGGCTGAATTCAGTTCTCTAGGCAGCCCCTCCCCAGCAGAGTAGCCTGGGCCTGTCTTCTGAGAACAGTCTTTCAGTTTTGAAGGAAGCAAGGTGGAATATTGCTATTTCCTCTGATGCTCTCAAGACCTCATTCCTATAGCCATGTTATAAATAAAGTACATGGCTTGCTTTTTTGTTTGTTTTTGTTTTATTTTGAAGGAGTATCTTGCTATGTAGTTCAGGCTGGCCTCAAATGCACTGACTCCAGGCCAATCTTGAATTTATGGCAGTCCTTCCTCAGCCTTCTGAAATGCTGGAATTATAAGCATATACCACCATGCCTGGATTCTGATAAACACAAACATTTTAAGCAACCAAATTCTTCTCTGCTCTAAATTTACATCTTCTAACTCTTTCAAGGGCTTCCTTCCTGAGGCAAATGAAAAAAATGACTCAGCCATGCAATTTCCTTTCGATTCTCTGTGTAGAGCTGACTAAAGGCCTCCAGTAACACCCATGGAACAGCCAGCCTGGACATTGTACAGCTATGGGATTTCCTCCACCAGATTAATCTCTCCACCACCCTTAATCTCAGTATCCAATAAAGTCTGAGGACATGCACAAAATGTACACAGATTTTCTGCCAGAACGTAACACACATGGACTAAAATCCAACTGCCAATGCGGTTCTTGTTCCCTATGGAAAGTTCCTGAGCTTGGTCTTTACTGACTGCATTGTGGTCAACATTCTAGTCGTTGTCTTCTTTCTTCTTTGTATTTGCTGGGGAACAAACTCAGGACCTTGTGCTTGTGTGGAGGTGGTGGCACCACTAAGCTAAATCCCTGGCCCAAGGATATTTTAAATGTACAATTAAATTGTCATTTAATGTAATGGGTAGAGTACATAAATTCTCAGAAATATGTAAAATTTAAAATGGATATGAATAAAGGAGATTGTGGAGAAGCCAACAAGTTGGTAACCAACTGAAATAGTAATCAAAAAACTGTCTTTCACAAATTCATCTCCCAAAGGGATTACAGGTGTTTCATTGAAGCTTCAAAATTCTGATCAAGATTTTATACACACACACACACACACACCAATTCCATGATGAATTATTTTTGTTATGCATTGAAAATATATACTAACGCAAACATTAAAAAAGGTATGCTCTCAGCTGAGCATGGTCTCATGGACTTAAACTGACTATGTAGCCCACAGTGGCCTTGAACTCAGAGAGATCCTTCCTTCTCAGCTTTCTGTGTGCTGGAATTACAGTCGTGTGCCACCACACCTGTCCCTGAAAGGTCTTTTCTTTAAGCTTGCTTGATAAACAGTTCTTAACTTACTAGAAGTTAAAATACAAAAAATACTTTATTATTAATAGAAAAAATAAGTGCAAGAATATAGCTACAACATGTGAGCATGATGGACATTTCAGGGAACAAAATATTGTACATTAAAAAAAAATACTTTTAATTAGCCAGGCATGGTGGCACATACATGTAACCCCAGCACAAGATGAGGCAGGAGAATCACTGTGAGTTGGAGGCCAGCCTGGACTACAAAGTGAGACCCTGTCTCAAACCAAAAACCAAACCAAAAAACCATTTAATTAGAAGATTGAACTTATACCAATTTTTGCAAAAAATGTCATCCTTGAAAGGAGATAACAGATGTTCCACTCTGCTCCTTTTCTCAATTTGTGCCAGTTTTTCATAGAAGAAAATCCTCTTCACATATCACAGTAAAGGAGGGATTTTGTTAACTCCTAGAAATAGTCATATACTTTGGGACTGGGGATTTAGCTCAGTGGCCCATGATCATGGTACCAAAAAAAAAAAAAAAATCATACACTCCCAAGAATTTATATACATTATGTCTTTATAAAAACTTATCAACAAATTAATTTTATTGTTTGTTTGTTTTTTGAGACAAGGTCTCACTATGTAGTTGAGACTGATCTGGAGCTCACTGTGTAGCCCAGGATGGTCTTGAACTCACAGTGATCCTCCTGCCTCTCAGCCTCCCGAGTGCTGGGATTATAGGCATGTACCACCACGCCTGGCATAACAAATTCATTTTAAAACTCCGCAACTTTTTGTACAGAAAAATACTATATACAATTAAATTTGGATAGTCAGGCATAGGGCACACACCTGTAATCCCAGCCCTTGGGAATTTGAAGCAGGAAGATCACCACTAGTACTTAGTCAGCCTGGGCTATGTAATGAGTCCAGCATCACCTTAATTACATAATAATACCCTGTCTCAAATATCCAAAAGAAAAGAATTGAAGAGGATAATCTGAATATGTAGAGAATAATGTGCAGACTTAGATTGAAGTGATAGGCTCTAAATTCTTCATATTATATCTCTAATACAAGTATATTTACAAAACCAGAAAATCAGCTATAAATGTGACAAAAATCTACTAGAATCCCTTCTGAGAAATGAAGGACAGCATTAGTTTTTTCAAATCTCAGATAAAAAAGTAAGTCTGGGCTGGGGATTTAGCTCAGTGGTGCCACCACCTGCCTCGCAAGTGCAAGGACCCAAATTTGATGCCCAGTACCCAAAAAAAAAAAAAAAAAAAAAA